GAAACTGGAAATAAATGACAAAAGAAACCAGAAAAAAAAACCCTAAATTCATGGAAATTAAAGGACACCCTACTCAGCAACCAATGGGTCACAGATGAAATTAAACAAGAAATTCAACAATATCTACAACTATATGAAAATTCAAGCACAACTTATCAGAATTTATGGGATACAATGAAAGCAGTTCCCAGGGGGAAATTCATAGCTGTGAACTCACACATTAGGAAAACAGAATGGGAACAAACACCCTAATGCTGCAGTTCTAACAACTAGAAAAGGAAGAGAAAAGCAAACCCAGAGCCCAAAAAAGGGAAGAAATCATAAAGATTACAGCAGAAATTAATTCAATTGAGACGAAGAAAACAGTTCAAAGAATTAACGAATCAAAAAGCTGGTTCTTTGAAAGACTAAACAAAATCAATAAGCCCCTAGCTAACCTTATCAAAAAGAAGAATGAAAAAATTCAAATACAAGCAATAAGGAATGAAAAGGGCATAATTACCACAGACCCAGTGGAAATTCAGAAGATTATCAATAGCTACTTTGAGAATCTTTACTCTCAAGGAATAGAAGACACAGATGAAATGGACAGAATCCTAGAAAACTACAAATTACCACAACTGAATCGACAAGATATAACCACTCTCAATAGCCCAATAACAGCCAATGAAATACGAGATGTAATAAAAAACCTACCGATAAAGAAAAGTCCAGGTCTGGATGGATTCACAGCTGAATTCTATAAGAAATTTACAGAAAATGTAGTCCCTATACTCCTACAACTCTTCAATGAAATTGAAAAGGAAGCAATCCTCCCAAAATCATTCCCGGAGGCAAGTATTATATGGATACCAAAACCAGGGAAAGACTCAACTAAAAAATAGAACTACAGGCCAATCTCCCTCATGAACATAGATGCCAAAATCCTCAATAAAATACTAGCAAATAGAATACAGCAAGTCATCAAGAAGATCATACACCATGACCAGGTAGGATTTATCCCAAGGATGCAAGGATGATTCAATATTTGAAAATGTATAAATGTAATACACTATATCAATAGAGCAAAAACTAAAAACCACATAATCATCTCCATTGATGC